CACTTTTACATAATTGTACAGCAAAACCGCTTTCCACATAGTGACCGTAACTATTTTTTTTAAATATATTTTATTGATTTTTTACAGAGAGGAAGGGAGAGAGAGAGCTAGAAACATCGACGAGAGAGACATCGATCAGCTGCCTCCTACACATCTCACAAATACTTTTCTTTGGAATTTGGAAACTTAAATAAAAATAGTTAGGGACTGTAACTATTTTTATTTAAGTTTCCGAATTCCAAAGAAAAGTATTTGTGGTATTTTAAAACAGTAGGCTTTAAGAGCTCTATTATTTATTTCTAAACATTGCACCAGAGTTTTTATTTAATCGTGTTTGATACTGATTTTACAAGGAAAGGTGGTCAGGATAAAAGGCTAGCTTCTGCTAAAATGATTAGAGGAACTATAGGTTCTGGAGAAGGGGGGGTGGGGAGTGAGGTGGAGAGATGACAGATGAAAAAGCTAAACAGCCCGGTTTCCCTCGGTTTATACCCAGACTTGTCTGCTGTGCCACTTGGCCTGGTACCCAGGCGCAGCTGGACAAGGGGCGAGCGCTTCATGACAACTGGCTCCGCGGGAGATCTGAGGCCTGCCTTGCCATGGTGTGCCCAGCCCAGTTTTCCTGCTTGTTTGTTTAATCACGAGCCAATGCTTATTCCCCAACTCCAACTTTTCCCTCTGCCCCAAGAATAGATACATTTATGTTATTTCTCCCACTGCTAAACTTTTCAAAATAAAGTATGTGATCAAAATTCACTCCCAGTAACAGTATTATAGAAATTTTCTTTCCAGATGAGTAACGCCTTAAGAAGTAAAACCAATTCACTGACTTTTGGGTCTTCCCCACTTCAATCGCGTCACCTGTCTGTGCTTGAACAGAAGTAACTCCTCCTATTTAAATTTCCCAAAAGTCTCCGATAAGGGATAGGGCACACTGTCCTTTTCCAGTCCCTTCTTCCCACTATCTCCAGAGGGTCTCCCAGCCAAAAAGCCTAACTCTGCCTGACTCATCACCCTGAAGTCCATTTTCATACCTCTGCATAGAAACACTCACTCATGACTCGGAGCATCCCTCAATGCACACTTTGCTTGACCGCAAGAGGACGCAGGTCCAGAATCCAGCCCTAAACCAGTTACCCAGTTTATGTCTTGTTGCCCAGCCTTCTCCCCTAATAAAAATGATAATGACCACTCACTCCCCGCACCTGGCCACTCCCAGGCCCACGTGCCTGTTGCACTCACCGGTCATGCCCACTTGCCTTTCCCACAGTCTTTCCCTTCACGGCTCAGGTCAAGTTCTGCCACCTGCGGGACCTTCTATAAAAAGAAATTGCTGCACTGACTCATCAGACAGTGCCTCCAGCCACAAGACCAAGTAAATTAGTGTAATTTAGGGAAAACAGAAAACTGCTGCTGCTGTCTGATCAGGAGCATCGTTTTGGTAAGAAAAGCTTAGCCCGGGGAGGGTCTGGGCATAGCAAAGGGCTGATATACCGGCGCCTTCCTTAGGAGCCACACTCTGCGAACCATGGTCGGGAGTGGGAGTGGGAGTGGGTCCTGTTCTCCCGTTTTACTGCAGCAACAAGAAAAGGGCTGCCTGCACTGGTCCCCGCTCAATTTGGGAGAGATTAAGGAAGGCCTACCTGTTATTCCTGGGGCCCGGCTGAACTCCTGTAACAAAAAGCAAACCACTTCATCTTTTCTGAAGCCTGAGCGGGGACTGGAAGGCGCCCCTCCGGGGGTTGTTGAAAGAATAAAATAAGAAAATGTGTGACAATGTAAGAGCACAGAACAAGCACTCCGCAAGTGGTAGCCACGTATGTAATGACCCAGATTCATGCACAAAACACAGGCCCCCGACTTGGGCCGGAATGGGCAGTAACAGTGCCGGGCCCGCGAGTTCTTCCCGCGGGAGCCCTGGTTTGTCAGAATGTCACGAACCCACTGAATTTTGATTCTGAACTTGGTTGTCCAATGCGCTGGTACGCTCTTCAGCGAAAACAATTCCGAGTTTGCATCCAGGTCTGGAACGCCTAGACCCGAACGTGGCGGGAAACCAGTGGGGGGCGGGGCAGAGGACGCCAGGGCGGGTCGGGGCCCGCTCCCTTCCTCCCGGAGTTCAGACCGGGCGTCAGGCCCGACTTGCTCCCCTTCCCTCTGCCCCGGGGGCCCGACGCGGCCATCAGGTCACCCCCCTTTACCTCCAGAAACCCGCTTCCTGGGCGGGGCCCTGCCT